AGTCAGACTAGGAAAAATGCCACTCTAAAACCATAGTGAGCTGTTGCCAGTCAGTATAGAAAAGTCCTGAAAATGCTCCAACTTGTTTCCTTCATTACCATTACTTTTCTACCGTGTTTTCCCAAATAAGACAGGGTCTTATATTAATTTTTGCTCCAAAAAATACATTAGGGCTTATTTTAAGTGGATGTTTTATTTTACAGTCATGTCATCTTCTGGTTGTTGCACAGTGCTGCACAATGGTGGAGGGCTTATTTTTGGGGTAGGGCTTATATTACAAGCATCCTGAAAAATCATACGAGGGCTTATTTTCAGGTTAGGTCTTATTTTCGGGGAAACAGGGTATATCCTTAGACACTAAGCATAATTATTATTACAGATGTATTACCAGTGGACAACATTGGGTCTTTCCAGAACAACTGATGCCCAATACAGAAATAAAACTCAACTCTATTTCCCCCAATTAATGAATGTCTTGAATGACAAATGCTTTCAGTCATGTACACAGCGTGCAAGCTTTGAAAGGTCAAACTACTACCTAAGAAAGGTGCCCCTTTCTATGTACTCTGTGTGTTTAACACACCTGCAATGCAAGACAGTAGAAGGAGCTCAGGTTTTATTCAAGAACTTTCCAAGTAGTGTCACAAGTGGCAGCCATAATATTAAAAACACGAGAGCAGGCAAAGAACTAGCAAACTAGAATTGTTATCTAGATTTGTCCTGCTTTAATAATGTTATCTGTATAATTGCTGCTTTATAGGTGTACACTGGAAATGTATGAATGTGCTTGGAATATGCAGCCACTTGTGGTTTCCTGACACATGTGTGTTAAATAGATAGTTATGTGGAATTGTGCTGGTGTACATCACATATAGAAAACATACTGTTAAATAGATAGTTATGTAGGGATTGTGCTGGTGTACATCACATATAGAAAAAGAGTATATAATATCGGCATAGTTCAAATTTAATTCAATCCATCTTAAAGCAATTTTTGAGAACTCCGTTCAGTTCAGTTTGTTTGCTTATAGCGAAATGCTATTCCAAGAAGATAATCTATAGAAACAAAATCAAAGGCAGACAACATAAGAAAAACCTCAACATTCAGAAAATATGAATCGCTGGCAGAATTATAAAGGCTGGACGAGAGCCAATTACCTGAACCTGAATCCTGGCAAGCAGGAGGACTTGTGAGATCTGTTCTGATTAGAGTTGAGCTAATAGCAAATACAAATGTTCTTGTCCAAGTTGTGAAAAGGTGGCTTGTTGTGGTGCCTGCATTTTGGAATGTCTGTCTCTTGCAAATGTGACTTGCTGCTACAATGTTTAGTTTTAGCTGTGTGTTGAAAATGTACCTGTTTATGTAAGCCTTACCTATATAGTTCAATCTAAGATCTAGTGGATTAGGTCTCTTGCTGCAGAGTCAGAGGTTTTAGAGTTCAGTTCCCCACTGTGCCTCCTTGACAGGGACTGGACACAATGATCTGTATGGTCCCCTTCCAGTTCTGCAATTCCAAGATTATCTCTCTTAAAGAGAATATATCATCTTGGATTTGCACAGCATAGTTAATAATGCAAGTGAGCACAACTACACTACTGCCCATTGCACTCCTTCACTTCGTGGGGTTGAGGAAACAGTCATCCACCTGGTTGTGCACAAGGTTGTGTGCTGGACAGCAAGCCAAGAAGGAAAACACTTTGCACGACTGCCCTTACGCAAATGGCTTTTCACAGCAGGAAACTGCCTGTATATTGATGCATGTATTTTGATACTAAATATGTTACTGGCTACTTGGGTACTGTCTTTATATCATAGGTAACATCCTTTTGTAAAAAATATATATATACACATATAGAGACAATTGCAAAAATATTTTTTGCAGCTTTCTGGATTACCATTGAGTGACTGAACACACAATCGTTACATTCAGGGCAAAACTAAGCATGCAACAAGTAGCCTGGAATATAGCACACTTGGCTTGCACAATTGCTCTTAGACAGCAACATAAGCCAACAGGATAGTAGTCTATATGAATTGTTATTGTCATATGCAACTTTTCAAATGTTTAAATGGTGTATAAATATTCATAAATGAAGAAATGAATAATACATAATCTAGGGAATAAAATGATCCTATAACAAATAGATCTTTTCAAAAGCAATGACTCAATGATCTATAGGATCCCTTACAACTCTGCAGTTTTAAGATGATGATGATGGTGATTTATTA